ATATTGAGCTAGATTCAATCTTTTGATTTGAAACCTCTATCACAGACCGCTTACTTATGATTGAGTTTACACAGAAGTGTTCAGAACTACAACTACTATAGAAACGAAGATTCATATCATTTCCTAACTCGAGACCGATAGTTGTGGAAAGCCACTAAAGTAAAGCAGGTCAAACTTTTCTTTGCAATATAACCAGACCATTATCAGAACTACGCATTGCATTACAGATATCATCCTGATTTCATCAAATCGAAGAAAACTAATATGTTCTCTATATATATCATTGTTTCTTTCTGAAAATTGAAGAAATCTGTTTGGAAAAAATTGGAAAACAAACATTTTCGATAACTTAAACTAGTTAATACGGTTCGGTTTTAAGCGATAAATACTGATGTGCAATGGATATGCTGTTTTCTCTTCGATTTGATGGAATTAGGATGATATCTGTAATGCCATAGGTAGTTCTGATGATGGTCTAGTCATGTTGCAAAGAAAAGTTTGATCTACTGTACCTTAGTGATCTTCCACTGTACCTAGTTTCACAAAAGTGTTGAAATCTTGTGCCAACGGAATCTTCACTTGATATATTTTTACCTAATTCTACTTGCAGTTTTCGAATCACAACGACATCTACCTGAAATTTGGCCACTAAGAAAACTACTTTTATTCTGATGTTTGTAAGCACAGACATTTTTCTGAAAATATGCAGAACAAAACTTTAAAGAATGTATTAACATACTAAAAATAGCAACTAAATCACTTGACTTGCATAAAAGATCTCTGCATTAACTTTCCTAGTGGACTTTTGGAATATCCTGTAGATATGTTCAATTACTCCAAAATTCATGAGATTTGTTGTTTTTTTTAAAGAACTTTGGCACTCTTTCTTGCACATATTGGCAATCCTGGCCCAGAAACGGTGAGTAATGGTTGTCAGACAAGTTGTCGCCCTTCATTCGCAAAAGTCGTCAATTTATTTCAATCGAACGCCATACCAGTGAATATTTATAACACGTCTCTTCTCGCCTCCGCTGTCCAACAAGGTGCCGGACTGGTCAATGCATTTCAAGCCATTCAGGCAACAACCTTAATATCACCCAGTGAACTTGCATTGAATGACACTGTGAGAAAAGCCGCGTCTTATACTATCCAAGTGTTCAATTTGGGCAACGAAACAGCCGTATACAATATCAGTCATTCCGGGGCTGCAATGGCTACTGGATTGCAGAAAGGAAGTGATCAGCTTTTGACCCAACTGATGTATTCAGCTGATTACGCTGTGAGTTCTATGTGATGAATTTAGAGTCAAGTCGAAAGGCTTCCTTTGAAAGTTAGTTGATAGGACCTAGTTAAAGTTATATTTTGTCTTAAAACGAAATCAAGTAAAAACAAAATGGAGTAAAAAGTTGCCGGTGTGTCGTTCAAGCAAGAGTGTTGCAAGCGGGAGCCTCGGGGACTTACAATCTTGGAAAATTTTCGTCTTGCTTCAGCAAATTTCCCCTTTTATTTTCTCAACAATCATTCAAAATTTGATCGAACCTTCTCTCTCCCAATGGGCTGTCTGTCCTCTTCTCCATTAAAACTGGTTGACTCGCTCAATCTGACCGCTTCGCGATACCCTGACTTCAAGCACATCATTCTAATATTGAACGATTTGTTTTTCAAAGTTGCTAATGTCTGAGATCTGTGAATAGGTTTTAGGAAGTCTCCAGGAGATCGAAGATGATTTTGTATCATGACTCTGTTCATGATTCCTGTCCTCTGTTGCTCGTACTCAAGGATACTTGACTCTATACCATGTTTGTTTTCTCTCTCTTGGCTTCACATGTTTTGTGCTTTGATTAACTCCTCGAGTGAGGCATGTTTCGCTAGTCGTTGTTCTGACATTAGAATGAATTCGTGATCTTCCTTTTTGATGGTTAGTCAATGATCAGAAGGCAATGATTCGTTGACTTAAAGTCTAATTGCACTCATGGCGCCATTTGCATATCACGCATTGTGATAGCAAATATGAAAAGCTTGAAAATATCCGGCCATCACTATACATGTATTATAAGTAAGACGAAGAAAAAATAAAGAATCAAAACTGTAGTAATATGCTGTTCACATAAACTTATCTTCTGTTAGTGCTATTATGATTTCCGCCGCTGTCATGACCATCTATCTCTACCCATTTTCACTGTTTCTGAACTTCTCGCTTCAGATCACTGAATATCTGGAGGAGTGATTTTCTAGGTTATTTGATCTTCCAATTTTTTTGTGTATAAATTTCAGCCGTTTATGTCCGTTTCCTTAGAAAATAGATTATGAAACGACTAGGAGGCACTAGAGTTTTAATGTATGAAAGAAGCATCAACTCGAAGCTGTGATGAGTACCTAGGCCAGATAGTTGTAAGAGCGAGTTATCACAGATTGTTCCATTAACAATGAATCCTATTCGTTTCATGTAATTAGCATATATTATCTTTCTAAACATCAAAAGATTGTTGATATCCAACCAGTCACAATTGAACTTGATCCTGGACAATCAGGTACGATTACTCTTCGATTTCAAGCACCTTACAATGCCAGTGCCGCTCTTCTTCCAATTTTCTCGGGCTACATTTATGTCACAAATAATGTGAGTGAACAAGTTACGCATATTCCATGTAAGTTTTTATAGCTAACAGCTCTCTGTAGCCCCCCTTTCATGTACAAATGTATCTCTCTGCAGATGCTGGTGTTGTCGGAGACTACAAAAATGCACGCACTATTGTACGAAATAGCTCATCAGGTATCGTTACGGGCATTCTGAATTCAAATAACGCCTATATTTCAAATACACAACAAGAAAATTTGAACTTATCAAATGCAATTCGAATGATACTGGTCACAGCATGGGCGTCGCGCTTTGTTTTTGTGGAGGCTATTTCGGAAGCAAGCCATGTTTTACCTAACTTAGCGACAAGGTAAAGTACGATCTCATGCCATATTGTCTGTCAACAAAATGTGACCTTCTTGCACCTCATTCTTTGTTTATACTGCTTGGTAATCGAATCAAAATAGCCGGAACATATAGTAGGAAGCCTAATTTTGCCTTGTTTTTTGTGAAGTGCCGCTCATGCTAGAGGACAATAAGATTAAATTATGCGAAGCAATTTCAAAAGACTCAGCATTCTTCTGTTAATATTCGATCTATTCATCCGACAGGCGCTTATCAAAGTAATCTGCATGAGGCGTTCAAAAAGTTCTGAGACTCAGGAAAAATTATTGAAAGGAAAACGACTCCACTTTTTTTCTCTTCAATAAATGTTAGAAAGGATCGTCTTAATATTCGATATCGACTTTAATCAAATTTTGAAAAGTTTTTTTGTATTCATCGAAAGATATCATGCAAAGTGTTGAGTACTACTTAGTTGACTGATTTTTACATAGCTTCTGAAAACGTGGTCAAGCTCAAAACGAATTCATGAGAAATTATATTGCAAGAACATTAATGATAAGCTGTGAATTTTTCATTGTAAGATTGGAAAAAGTAGTAATCAAATTTGTAAGTAACAGAAGGAGAGAGCTCTTTATCCACCGTTTAAAGAAAATACTATTTGTCATCTACTTCCCCGCATATGAACTATTACTTATTCGTCAGGTACTTTCTAGAGTATCAATATGACTCATCCAAAATTGTGATGAATGTTTGGAACCATTATTTAAAAAGCACCTTTACAGAATGTCATTATCAACAATTGTTAGTGTTAGGCTACGCTGTCGCAGTGCCAAAAATGTATAAAACTGGTAGCCACTAATTAGCTTAAAGAAGAAATAACAAGCTGATAGCTTTTGCGCTATTTTTGCCTTATTTAGATCTTTCAAATTTTGAGTCAATTAGCTATCGTCAAGATAAACTAGGTAGAAATCAAAATTTCACAAGTTTAATTAAACAATAACTAAGGACTTTGCTCGGTACTTTTCGATGAATTCGAAAAGATATTTCAGAATTGGATTTAATTCGATATCGAACATTGAGACGATCCCTTCTAACATTTAGTGAAGAGAAAAAAACATGGAATCGTTTTCCATTCAGTGATTTCCCCCGAGCCTCAGAACTTTTTAAATGCCTATGTATTTATTTAATCATGAATGTTCCTAAGACTAGTCAGTTGTGATCTACTAATGCTAAGTAGCGAATAATTACTTTTCTCTTTGCAGTTACGGTTTTGTATACGATGACGCCCAACATGTACCAGCATTTTTCACAAATTTAGTGAGAAACGTAGCCACACCCTTCCGATCGTATGTACAATGGTATGAGATCACTTGGTCTGGTCTGGTTAGTGTGGTTGTTTCGAATAGAAGCTCATCGTGGTTTGAAACGGCTCGTCTTCCCACTGGTCAATATAAAATTCGATTTTCGGCTCTCAAACACTTTGGAAACGCGGAGGATGCTAACGATTTTGACATTTATGAGACACCAGTCTTCAATTTAATCGACTTGTCCACGACAACTCATTCTTCCACAGCAACCCATTCCTTCACGGCAACTTATTCATTCACGACAATCCAGTCGTCCACAACGACCTATTCGTTCACGGCTACTCAATCGTCCACGACAACCCAGTCGTCCACTGCAATGTTGATCTCGTTTAACCTTCATGGTTTATTCGTCTCTTTCTATCTTTCTTTTTTCTTCCATCAAAAGCATTAGAGTTTGTGGGTGTGGGTGTGGCTATGGTTGTATGTGCCTGGGTGTGAGTGTCAATTGGCTTTTCTGTATCTCTTCATCTACATCCACATCCACACCCATCACCCACATTCACACCCTACCCTTTATGAGATATATAAGGGTGGGTATAGTTGTCCCTATCATTCTCTACACATCAACACTCACATCACACCCACCCTACATCTTATCTTTTCTAAACTGTGTGTTTTGGTATAGAGCAATAAAACGTTAAAACCAACAACCACTCTTTTGTTGCTACTTTTCTTTATATGGATTTATTTTGAGAAAAATGAATACAATATCATGTACGAATTTTTTTATTCTTGTCCCTGATCACTCTTGTGTTGGGAATCGGTTTAGTGGTTTTAGCCTGCTGATCATGAACATTTCGATGTTGTTCGTCAGTAGTTGACGTTGATACTTTATTCTGCGACAATCGAACTCCATTGCTCTTGTGTTGCTCCCGTTCTGAAGCACATAGGATCGCGTAGGTATGTTGAAGTAATATATGCTTAGGAACTTGAAAAGTTGCTAGATCAGCAGCAGTGATATAATCACTCCATAGATCTGTTTGTTTAAGATATGATTGTAATGGTTGATTAAGGTTTATATTAACACTCAGAATGCGTATCATTAAATGTTTGAACATGGAAATCCAACTATTAATATTTTTCAATAAAGGAGAAATAGTTTGTTTCTGAAATGTTTCATGTGAAAATTCTTCGAATATGCGTTGTCTCTCATCATGTGAAAATGTTGTTTCCTGAAGTTCATTTTTAACATAAGCACGTAAAACTCGATCGAAAACATTTTCTTCAATCATTTCATATAAATCAATAATATATGGTAATTGAATGGTAGAAAATGGTGGTTGATAGAGAATTGTATCGTTTAAATAAGTATGCCGATGTATATAATGTTTAACGAATTTTTCAATTGGTATTCTCTCTGATGCACTGTCTAGTATACTTGTTCTTAGATAGGTAAAAACATAATCGAGTGAACCAAGATAATTGAGCATATCATCATTATTCATGCCGACAATGAGACTTTGTAATTTAATTCGATCATCATTGGATAGTCGTTGTTGTTTGATTCGAGCACGAACATCATTGATTAACGATGTATTTTCTCCGTACGATTCAAATTGATAATTGAGACAATATAATCGATCTGTATCAATCAACATTAGCGAACTGATCTTATTTCGGAGGTATATTTCGATTTCTTCATAATCATACATAATATCTCTACCTTGTCCATATTGATAATTAAGAACAAGACAATCATCAATTAACTTTTGATTCAAACGATTTCGATCAAGATTAAAAATATGTTCCGGTCGAATAGATTGAAGTGGAAGACGTTTTCGTTCAGTCTCTTTTCTAACGTCGTCTTTAATAGTATCATGAAAATAATTGACAATTTCATTTTGTAATTCGGCAAGTGTTTTAAGACATGCAATAAGAAGAAGACTACTTTCATCGCTTGATGTATTCAATAGAAGTGCATTAATACTGGTACTTTCAGCGAATTTCTCTTTCGAAGTAGTCTTTTCGAATTTTATTGTTTGGTTGCCATGATGAACTTCTTTCAAATTTATTGCATACCAAGCATTTAGAAAATCATTATAAAGTTGATTAGTTCTATGTTGATCTTTGTCTTTCGTTAAATAATAAAGAATTTTCTTTTCATTTGCATCATTCCGATGGATTCGATAATTCAATTTTTCAATAAGATAATTGGTAAAAGCAATAATCGGATACATATGTTGAATATTAATATAATCGTCGAGACGTTTGAGAATAAATGTCGTAATTGGATATGTATTTTCAGTATATGGAATTGCTTGTATTTTAAAGATAAATTCATTCAAAGGATCCAATTTATAAAATGTAGTTACATTAAAAACGCTTAACAATGGGTATTGTTGTTCATCTTCAAAAACTTCACCAATGAAACTGTCTACTGATGGTTGAGCGTTAGATTCGTGAAAGAAATAAGCATAAGCTTGTTTATATTCAACAATTTCATTAGTTACTGAAATCATATGTGGAAATATGAGTCTTTCTTCAATCATGCGCTCGAATTGTAAAACATCTTCGTTGGCTTTCATTAAACCTTCTTGAACAAACTCATCATTGACAAGATGATTGAGAAGTTTGTGAAGCCAAATACAACATTGCTGATCATTTGTAAATGTTTGAGAGAGAATTTCGTAGTCGTGTTCAAAATGATCGCGAAAATGTGTTGCTGTTGACAAGTGGAGACTTTGTTTAATATCTTCATCAGCTAAATAATTGAGTTCACGCAAGGAAAGCAGTAGAGCATGTGTGAGAAAATGTAAAAAACGAAAAGATACAGATCGACTTAAATGATGAGGTTTTTCATCGAACGCACTCTCTTCCGCTGTTGTAAGATTGTGATATCCAAGACGAGCTATCTTATTATATTGATCGATCATTTGGAAGGTTTCATCGATGGACATTTGAATTTGAGGAGGATCACGCTCGATAAGAACATTATTTTCAGTGATACCAATTGGTTTTCGACATTGTGGACAAATATTTGGATCATTACGAATATTGCAATCTTGAAGATAAAATATCCAAGGACACTCTCGTGAACATTTAACAATGAAGTTTTCTCCATCATGAATAACTCCTCGTTTTAAATGATCTTGAACTTGTGCTCGTACATGAATCATTTGTGTGATGACAGGATTGCTAATCATGAGACCAGGTAAGTAAAGATTCGAAATATGTTGTATACAGTCAGTAGGTATTTCTCGTTGATCATTGAATAGAAAACTTCCAAATAAACTCATTTGACGTTGTGATTTAAGAGAGATCAATACAGCGATAATATTGAGAGCAAGTAAACGTTTATGAATATCATTTGCTGACATGGTTGGATCAAGATGAAAATAGGAAGCATCCCAGAAATTCAAGCTCAAAAAAATAACTAATTTCCAACCGAAGGGTGTAAAGGAATCCATAATTTCTTGATTTAAATCATTTAGGATCAAATGAATAACTCTGTCTTCGGTTTTGCTGTTAACTTGGATAAAACGACAATAATATTGAATGAACCAACACAAAAAAGCATAACTGAGTTGTTGTGACATACTGCACTCACGAATTAACTGTCGTAGATCATCAATGTTGTTATCTGAATGGAGAGTTTTACTGACTCGTTGAAATTGTTCTCGACTTTCGAACAATGGAATAGGCAAAATAAGATTTTGTCTAATATTTTGTGCTTCTTGATCTTGTGGTCGTTGAAGAAAATCTTTGATCCAAATAAGGTTACGATAAACAAAGTTATCACGCAAATCATCCAGACTACGTCCTGAAGTTTGTAGAAGTTGTTTAAAAATGAATAATTTCAGTGTTGAACCAAATGGCGAGTCAGCATTGGTTAAAAGTTGGTCTATTCTTGGCATGATATAATTTTGGCTCTCATTATTTAAAGCAAATGCATAGATTTGAGCATAATATTTCAACCAAGCGACAACGGAGATCCATTGAAAATTGACTGTTGTTTTCATATTTTGCATCATATAAAGATTTTGTTCAAAATGTTCGTAATGATCAGTAAGCTGTTGATCGATTTCATTGTCAGAAGTTCGATACATCAAATGCATATGAATTTGATTGACTAATAATCGTTCTACTTTATGTGAAACATGATCGATGATGTCCAATGAATGATTAAATTGTTCGAATTTTTCATCCAATGGAAGTCTTCCATGATATTCTTTCAATACTGATATTAAGTCAAATTTATAATGAATAAAATTAAAAATTTTTGCTGAATATTGCCAAAGATCATTATCGTTTTCATTCAATAAACTTAAAACTTCACCATACGAATCTTCATTATCTGCTAACCAATCTTTTATGAGTTCGATTTCAAGTTTAATTAATGTTTGACGAATAATAATATCATTGACAGTCGATCCTTGCTCTCGAATTATATTGCGTAGTTGAATAACATATTGATGAATTGATTGACATGAATCAAATTTTGCATTGAATCCTTGTTTGAAGATATCAAAAGCTTTATCCGATAGTAAAACAGCAAGACAACTAATGAAACTAAGGGATGAACGAAGTTTTTCAAGATTATTCACTTGATACGATTCGAGATCACGAATATATTGTGCAATCAAACTATATGTTGTTATGAGTTGTTGAATATTATTGACTCGATTAATAATCGATGGTGATAGAATTAATTCAATTAAATTCATTAGACTCGTTTCAATCATTGGATCACCTTGACATTTAAATGTACAATCATCTTCAATCGTTGTTTTCAATGGTGGAAGTTGATAGAATTGTTCATTCTTTATTACCAATGTATAAAACTTAGATGATCTAATTTCGCCAGTAGGTTGAACAACTAATTGTTTTTGAATTTCTTTAAGAATTTCTTCTTCACGAATCAATTGTAAACTAGCATCGAATAAACGAATTATGTCTAATAGTTCCGTATGTGCAAGAAATAATTGAATATATTGTTCAAATGAACGAGTTGGATTACTTGTAATTAGATTAAAAACAAATTTCGATGAAAGATTAGTATTTGTTTCTATGAGATGTATCGCTATTTGATCGTATAAGTAAAATTCAAAGTATTGTTGATTATTCAGAACAAGTTGCATAAAATCTTCTCCATACGAACTTGTCGTAAGTATTTGCTTGATGGCATAATCGAGAAAATGTGTATAATCGTTGTTTATATTTTGTAGTTCTCGAATTTTCTGACGAATTAATTGAATATGTTCGTATTCAGATGCTGCACAAGGTAATTTCAAATCAACAACAAGTTTAATATCGATTATATCATGATTCCTCATGGTTAAATCGATTGTTTTCATTGATGACATTAAACAATGTATCCAGAGTTTGGATAGATTTTCTTCAATGTTTTTATCGCTGATAGTTGAAAGAAAACGATACGCATCGAAAAGATTATGTTTTTCAAGATGTGCCAAGAGAAGCAAAAGATGTGCTTCGAAATATAGGGAAACAATTGTTTGGAAAGCATCTTGAAGCGAACGAGAACCAGCCATTATTTTACTATTAGTCAATAGATCCGATCGCCAATCAGTAAAATCTTTTTTATCAATTTTTTCATTTTTACGAATTAATTCAATCAAATTTTCATGCATAATCGAACGGAGATGAATGTCCTTTCTTGTTGTGTCATCCGAATGACGAGTTATTTCTTCGAATATCGTATTGCGTCTTACATTAATGAGTTTTTCATCGGTTTTTCTCGTTGCAATATAACGAAATTTCGACAGACATCGATTAATCAGATCGTCGAATATGCTATCGGATAGAAGACATTCTAATTGAAGAACAAGATCACGATACGAAGAAGTTAAAACTAACTGTTTCGAAAATAGTACACGATCATTAAGATCATCAATCATATCAGTAGACCAGTCACTAAACAAAATATCATTCGAAGTTTGATTGAGTAAATTACGTTGTAAATGAAATATAAGCCATACACCTCGATCACTTTGTGATAGACTTTCATTCAGTAGAACATGTTTTAATGAGAGAATATGTTGATGCTCATTATGATAATCGACACGAATCAAAAGTAGACGAATAGTGTTTGATCGTTGATAATGATGTTTGATTTTATTTTTCAGTTCAAGTTCTGTCTTGAAAGCACTTAATTTGATTTCTTCAACGCCATTCGGTAGTGTATTGATTTGATGAAAGATTTGTGTATAAGTGTAAATAATCTGTGGCGAAATATTGTTGCTTTCAAGTGCTTGTTGGACAAGTGCTGAGAATGTAATTGATCGATGAATATCATAATATTGATCGATCAATGTTTGATTTTCGTCGGTTGGTTGCAATGAAAGTACTAAGGGTAAATCGAATGAACTAGTACGCATTAATTTTGCTTGACAATGTTTGATAATTTCTTGGCGGATTTCATCGGTGTCTTGACCATCGATCGAAATATCGAGTTGTTCAAAGATTTCCATGATTAAAAAGAATATTCGATCTTGACTGTAATCAACAAATAAATGTTGTAGACGTAGAAAATGTTGTCCACTTTTTTTTGGAAAAAAATTATTTAGCCAAAGATCAAGATCATTGTATATTGATTGATGTCGAGCATGAATTAAAGCTTGAATCTCAATAACATGTTTTTCGAAACGATTGAGAAATGGAGGATCACATTTGTCGATATCACGTTTATGAATAAAAACAATACAATAAAAATTATCATGTATCAAACAACGAGGATGATAGAGAGCACCCAAAGCAATGCGACAATATTTTTGTCGTCCTGAAAAAGCAAAATTTTGATTAAAAAGATCGTAGAGATTATCATAAAGATGTCCCATTTGACGCATCATTAATGTTATATTTGTTTCACTATAAAGAATAGTATCCATCAGGACTCGATAGTTATATTGTTTGGAATAGGTGTTGCCTTGATGTAGATCACCCGAAAAAGAACTACCTACAATAGTATGTACTTCTATATTATGTTTTCGTTGATGAACATTAATGAAACGTTCGACATAATCAATAGTACTCTCACAGTCACCAATCAGCATTAAATATCGACTAGATCGATTTTTCAACGCCTGATCAAGAAGACTATTGAATGATGGACAAGCATAATCGTTGAAGAGATGGTTTCTATTGATATACTGACAAAAGTGTTGCCATAAAAGCAGCGAACCATCGAGAGTGCCATCGAAATTGACTTTCAATTGTCGTCGAATTATTTCATAGATATCTGTTTTTTCATTCGTTTCCATTAAATTACGAACAATACTTTTGATAAGACAATAGTAATCTCGAAGACCAAAATAGTTTTTTTGATCAGGTGGAGCATCACGCAAATTATCGTACAAATCGTAATAAGCTTCAGCAAGACCATTGATAATGATTGGATTAAAGTGAATGAATCGTCTTTTAGCTTGTTGTTGCATACTTTCCACTATGGTTTTACCAATAAGCCGAAGGTCTTTCACATCTGAATCAGGAGTCGATAGATATAGAGCACGATTCATTTTCGAAGCATCAAGTCGCCAATTCGAAATACCAACGAATCCGTATTTATTATTTTCAACTTCAAGTTCAGCATGTAGTACTTTGAGTGGATTGTGTGGAGAAAGTTCGGCAAGACCAATTTCATCGAAAACAATCACAGGCAATAGTTCAGAACAATTTTTGACACGAGCATAATTATTAGCACGTTCAAAAACTTGAATAATACTTTCTGATGTGCAACTTTGTGAACCTTGAAAAGAGACAGTAACTAATTCAGGCAATGTTTGAAAGTATGAATCTTTTGACATTTTTCCTTTCAGATTGTTGATTAATATTTGAACTGCCGATGATTTACTGCTACCAGGTTTACCGCACATAAACAATGGAATACGATTAATAATGCAAGCAAAAAGAACGAATATATTATCGCGTAGTGCACGGTTCAGTGATATACCTTCCGGTAACTCCATCTTTTTATCAATTAACTTCTCTTGTTCATGTTTAAGAATGTATTTGATCAAATAGTCACGCCTATCTCCAAATTCTGGATATAACTTTTTAATCGTCAATTCTATATTATTGATGTAGACGGTTTTTAATTTAGTAGAGCGTAATCGAAAATAGTAACACAGTAACAATGCAATAAAAGTCGCCCGATGAAGAAAATAATTATATTCACTTTTACGTAAATTTGGAGAGACATTTTGATTCAATAAATCTAGATACCAATTATACAACCGACAAAAACGAGCAATATCACGTAAACTCACACTACTGGCATCTTCTAGATCCTGAAAATGAATGTGTGAATGGACGAGAAGTGTAACGGTTAGATTAAAAAGCCGTTGATTTGATGAGAGATTATGGCATGTATTCAACATTGTTTTAATATAAGCAGTTTCAGTTGATTCATTCAAATAACCATAATCCCATATATATTCAAGCATTGTTTCTGGAATAGGTACGACGGTATGTAGAAGACATCGATCCAGACCAGTACCAAGTAGCTTCTGGATATCATAACGCGTTTTTCGTATTCCAATATCATCATCTTCATTAATCATAATTTTAAGTGTTTTTTTACGACGAGGATTGCAAGCGCCTAAAAAGATCATGTTTGATGGTAATGACTTACCAAGAAGAGTTTTCTCGCACATAATTTCTTTGAGAAGGCCAATATTAGTTGTTGTATTAAATTCATCGAAAAAAACCCACAAACGTTTTCCTTTTTCGGCACTTGTTTCAGCTTTTGTAATACAGACCTGCATTGTTTTGATGATTTTCTTAGCTGTGAAACCTGCATGTACACGAATAACTTCGAGATCTTCGTCTAAAATCTTTTGGCATAAGAATTGAATCAATGCTGTCTTTCCACATCCTATCAAGAGAAATAGATTGGCTCTGATATAAGCATACGAATCATTCTCTTACCTGTCTCACCCATAATTAGAACAGGTATACCACATTGTACTCTCATGTAGATTAGTAGCATTTTGATAAAATTATCTTGAGTAAGAACATACTCATTTTGTAAACGTTCAGCAATATCAGTTTGGAATGACAAAATATCAGCATCATCGAATGTTTTCGGTCGAATAAGAACATTGTTAATTGAACATACTTGACAATGTTGTTCTTTGAATTCATACTGTCGAAAACAAGTCGGACATATAGCTTTATTGAAATATTTTCGTGAAAGAGAAGCTAATCGAATGAAAATTTCAGTATGACTAAGTTTCGTATAATCAGGAAACATGTTTTTTTCTTTAATACGTTTACTTGCTTTTGATACTTTATTGTAGGCTTCGAAATATTGGACAAGTGCTGCAGGTACATCAGCTGGTTTCTTATAAACAAAGATCGGATCATCCGTGTCTGTGAAGACGAATATGAAAGGTTCCATTTTTTCCCAATGAATAATAGCATCACTAAATTCTGTCATTTTCTTGGTAGTCATCGATCGTTGTTGTTGGCGAACAGCTTCTACCGAAAATGAAGTAAACTGATTTGATGATTGTAGAAGAGTCTGAATAAGATCCATTCGTATTGCTCGAATTCTTGGATTTTCAAGGTATTTAGGAAAGAAATAACTACACCGTGAAAAACCTGTAAATAGACGATAGAATACAGCTATAAAAATAGACAATTGAGTCCAAGTAGTGAAGTCTGTTTTCTTATTTTTGAGAAATACTTTTTGGATAAGAGTAGAACATGTTATTTGATCGAAATTTTTGAAATTCGAAGGATTCACATTGTTGTTCACGATATCTTCCCTATTGATTGCATCTAGATAATTCGCTACCGTCTGAATTTCGACATTGTCAACAATAAGACTTGTCCAATCAATGTGGTCAATATGAACGATTGTTTTAATATGATGAAATAATGGAATTTCAATAAGCGAAGAATCAGGTGATGCATCAAGTTCAATGAAGATACAAGTTTCTGCTGGCAGTGAAACAGCTATTTGTCCAAAACGGAAACTTCTGAACAGAAGAAGACAATAGAGAATTTCATTCAACCGTTGACTATTATCGACAGTTCCAATATCAAGATGAAGCGCTCCCGTTTGAAGTTCAGGACATAATGAGCATAGTCGTTCAGCCAATATGTCACTATCTAAGTCTCCATAAATAGGAAATTTAACGTAGTTCATCTTTGACTTTTTCATAGTTTGCCTAATGAAAGTCGATTTTCCAAGACCACTTAGTTTGGATGTTACAAGTGTACATTCACGAATCAATGCGTTTATTTCTTTATCGAAATCATTTGAATTTAATAATTCATGATCACGAAAAATCTTTAGAACGTCCATCGATTGAAGTTCATTGATTATTTGTTGTTCTGTTGATGCAGTCGTTGTAATAATGCCCATTTGAAAAAAATGCTGAGGTCTTTGATCAATCAATGAACGTAGTAAATGAATAAATTGATCCTGTATTGATTGAGAGAGAAGCTCAGGTCGAATGAGTTGATGTAATGATTGTGAATAGAAACAACGATAGATAAAAGCACGAATTTGCATCCAGTTAGTATGCGAAGTACAGTAGAAGATGTGATGAACTTTAGCTGGAGTTGTTGTGAATGAAAACAGAGAAAGAATAGCACGAAGTATTCCTTCGTTAGTTGTTTCAATAAGAAGACATTTTTTTATCTTTGGATCCTTTTCTTCTCGAAACGGAAGCACCTGCTGTCTTGGAAGCCAACGTACAAGATTCGCTAATCGATCTTCAGGTTCCTGTCGTTGTTTACATGGGCAAGGTAGTGAATTCGGATCGATATCAACGAATTTAAGAAGATGATAGCCTGGATGAGAAGACGATGATCGATTGTAGATATAATCTTCGATTTGCCATAATTGATCGCCTAAGAAATACGTCAAAATGACATGTCGCTGGTAAATATCACATAATTTCTTTTCCCAATCTTCAAGCAAACAATTCAGCATGATATTATTTTGTTGTAAATCACCGTAGACTCCATCGATGCATGAAAAAATCTGACGAGATTCGATAAATGTAGATATGAACGGATGACCTACCGTATACAAAGCGTTTAGAATCTCAAGACTTGATTCAATAATGTCAACCAATCGGATGAAGTCACATAAATTCACGTTTTCAGCTTTATTTTCCATGTCGGATGCATTCATTCTCTTGAAGTGACTTGAATATTCCATCAGCCGTACACGATCACGAATTTCACTTAGATCAGAAAAGTTTACCTGTTTTTGTTTGTTCTCATCGTTCGTAGTCGCTGTTTGAGTTGAATGTTCTACATGAACATCAAATATTATCTCGTGATCACCAGTGCGCACAAAATGAATGGAAGAATTTTTTAAAATTTTCGCTATATAATGTCGTTTCGATTTTTCCTTATTAGTTAGTTCTAAATAGACGCGTTTGATTGTTGACAATCCAAGTGCAGATGATTCTAAACATTTGAGTAAATCACTAAATTGATTATTTTTCCACACTTCATTAAAGCTAGCAACGACATCTGTAAGATGAAATGGAGTATTAGTCAACTGTTGACGCTTGGTGTTCATGTCTGCATATGCACGATCAATAAAATTCTTAACAATAGTAAAGTCAAAGATTGTTTTTGTGTTAACCACTGTTTTATCCCAATCGTTAACAGCTTCTTGCATATTATAAACATCTTCAGTTTTAAGTGAATAAATAAATTTAAAAAGATCTTCTGATGAACTATAGTAAGAAACAAGTGTGCAAACACGCTCGGAACATAACTTTTGTATGTGATCTTGATATTGTTTATAAATTATAGTGCATTCTTCACCAGACGTATTCTCATCAATACTACGAATCTTATCTATGAATGTTAAATTCCAGGTAGCCGAAACATGAGCAGTAATATTTATAAAACCCATACAAATATGATTTATCTGAGAACGATTTTTCCAAAACGAAATAATTGAATGTAGTTGTGATTTCACAACAGGATCAAGTAATTCTTCTAACAGTTCAATATCATACTTGGCTTGTTGAATATCGGGAAAGAAACTAATAATAAGTTGAATCGGAAATTTGTTAATGGAAGTGCAAATGTTCTGTAATGTGGCATGATATTGTTCAAATATTTGAACACTTAGACCAAGAATGTCTACACATGTGTTGTTGTTCGGTTCGCTTGTCTTGCTTACAGGCTCTTCGTCAGTTGGTTCCAGTGATGCTCCTGTAAAGATAATATGGCATATAAAATCTACAAACTATGATGCACGTGGTATTAATAGCCTACTTGATGTCAAAGAACTACTAGTAATCCATATGTCACTACTCGTACCTAACAATTGTGTAGGAGATGATGTCACAGCTATTGAAAATAAAATAAAACTTAATTGAATAGTCTCTCCTTGAAAAAAATCTTACCAGATGTATCTGCTTGAATCGTTGTTCTTTGTTGAAGAAAAGCTCGCCAACTGAACACATTTGCATATGGATTGAGTTTTTCAGCAAATGAAACAATATCCATTAGATCAGCTGGTATTTGGATCGATTGAACGATTTCTTTTTCCAAACGATCATCGAATTCCTTAACTAGTGCATTGTACTTATCCTTATCATATGCTGTTTGACAGTAGACGTCAAGACAAGACATTACTTTTTTGCTGATTTCCAATTTATTAGTCATATCTTGATACAAAGAATCGAAGTGGTCATGGAATAGATAGTTTTTGTTTGCTTTCTGAACTATTAAAGCCCATATGATACGAACAACATTTCTTTGTGATTCTGTAAAGTTTTTCCATGTTCGCAATTCTGAAGCGAATGCACCATTTTCCCATTTGTTTAATTGTACGTTCAATCGTTGAACTAATTGTTCATGAATCGGAAGTGATTCGAGGTATTGATCGAATAGAATAGCATATGTGAAGTTATCATAAGATGGCTGATAGAATGTATCATTCATGATATCATTGTCGTTGATTGCTACCACCTGTGCAGCAAGAGAAATCAATTCTTTGATCAGTAAACTTTGTCCATTTTGTTGTCTATTGATTTGTCTCAAATGAAACAATGGATTTTGATAACTGTTCATGTCCTTCAAATGACAGATGTTGGGTTTTAACATTTCGGTGAGAAATTTATTTTTGAAAGCATCAATAAATTTTTTATTTCGAATAGATGATAGAGCATATTTCAGTAGATTGTAACTACCTCCTAGAATGAATAAAAAACGAATAGACTAGTACATTTAAATCAATCACATATATATTCGTATTCGTTTTGCATAAAATTATTTTTCATCTATTCAACACATACACTTTAGATTTCTCTTTTCCCAAATATATAATCAAATAGCTATAATTACTTTCTGACAACAAAACTTTACATGACAGAAATCGTATCTAAATAAAAGATAGGACTCGATATGAGAATGTTCTCTCTATACATATTACAAAACTAATTCTACTATTTGAAAATCAGCACTGATGATTGAAGAAGAGTCAGTATGTTAATATATTAACTTATTAAAATAGTATTCTAGTGAAGGTACTCGTAGGTGAGTACTCGAAAGTACTAACGCTAGAAAATGTCACGAGAACTCATGAGTATTTATTAGTTTTGAGTATTTATCAGTGGTACTCGTGCTAGAATCTGACGTGAGTATATGAGTACCATAATTGAGACCTCATCGTGTACTATGGAGTGTTTTTTTTTGAATACTGCTATCCAGTTTTTGTGTACTTTTGCTGATCTATGTAAAATATTCATAAGCATATATTTTACTAGCACTGTTATACTTCATTAATTTTTATTTAATATTAAATTATTAACAAAAAAACACAGATGCACATGAATTAATCTTAAAGAAATACTCAAAATGCGGACTAGAAGTTTCCTATTAGCTGCATACATTTTAATACAAAGATTTTTATACTAAAAATCTTCACCGCTCGCATAAAGATTTTGATATTTTCGGTACTCATATACAATAAAAATATGATTTTATATATTATTTTCTTTTTTTTTGTGATAATATACAAAAGAGAATAAAAAATTAAAAAAATAAAACAATATCTCGGTAGTAAATACATTCGCCTTCATGTTTTAAAATCATGAACAATTCATTATAGACGTCGTTAGTCACATCTCACATTTTATCAAAGATATTACATTTTAACAGAAAACTTTTTATATAAATTTAAAAAATAAAATTAAAACAAATCTAAATTGACGTATTCAAAAAATTCAATCTCATTTCAATCAATAAATGAAAATGAAAAATCGTTTTCCTTTTTCTTTCTGGAAATCGCTGTTTATTCTATTTATGTAAATGACTTATCAAAAATGAATAAAGAAACAGTTGAAGAAATCAACAAAAGAAATTTCAGATATTTTTTATTTTATTATATGATTTTTTTTTTAATCATATTATTTTATTTTATTTTTCTATTTCGTATTGCACAAGTAGTTTGTTAAGTATTTTACGAAAAAACGACAACGAGTATCAAACTGAGTACTGATACATCTTCCCGTGAGAAACTCTCTAAAGAAGAACTCGTACTAGTACTCGTCACAGTAACTGACGACGAGTATGCATACACATCAAATTTCTCGAATGTGAACTGTTTATCTGTTCATGAAATGAAGAAATTTTTTTCGATATTAAATATTATCAAACTATAACAAACTAATCGATCATCTTACCGTGCCGAAAACATTCCTTTACTATATGTTCGACGAAGAAACCTGAACGTTGATCATTAGCAGGCTCAACTTTTGTCCAAAGTTCAATAAGCTTATCTGTTTGTTTGATAATGTCGTCGAACAAATATGTATTATGAACAAAACATTCCGTCCAGTGATAAAGTAATTCATCATAATGCATCCAATCAGGATTAGATTGACATAGAAAATGCTTAAACCATTCAATAAAATAATCTGTTGTTCGATCTTCTCGACGGCTGATTGTGCGTAAAATATATTGTTGACGATCTATATGTGGCAATAGAAATGGATTGAAATATTGGAAAATTATAGCATAAATCGAAGGAATTTCATCAATCGAAATATGAAAATTTTTTTCATTCAAATAAACTTCAAAGCTTTGTTTCATTTTAAGATTAGATTCACATATCAATTGAATCTTTTGAGTCGCAGATTTCCTAACTCTATTATTTGTTTCATTTATTTCAGTTTTGCCTAAGTTCAATATGAATATAATATCATGAAGTTGAACTAAAATAAAATCGAGAAAATAACTTGATGGACTATTTTATTTTCCTACTTCGAAAATGTTTTTCTTCAAGAAGTTTATCAAGTTGATTAGTTATATGTGTATGTAATTGATTTTCATCATCTTGATATGATTCAAGAATTTTTATGAGGTAGACGACATATGTTGAAAGAGAACTAGTTACTTCAAGATGCTGCAAACAAAGTTTATCTGGACCAATTATAGTAAAAAGAATATCATCTTGATTTGGTATCAAAGTACATGTTAAACTATTGAGTAGGTCAACTAATTGAAAAATCAGTTCTTGCCGTCGTGTTCCGTCAGGAATTATCATCAATGAATCCAGTGAAAAATTCATTTCATTTTCAGTTTCCTCATAATACATCCTAATACAAACTAACGTTGCTAGACCATGACAAAAAGATTTCCATTCAGAATCAACAACTTCTATCCAGACGTCTAGAAGTTTGTCTAAAAAAACTTTCAGAACATTCGATATGAATGACTGAGTTGCTTTGCTTGGTATAATCATATTGTTTCGATTGATGGGCACGCAAGCCATCATACGAATAAGAATTTTTAATGTATGCATATCCTGTTGAACAATATTTTCAATTGATGAATAATAATTGAGACAAGTCTCAAAGAATTCTTTCAAATCTTCATTAGACATATTTCGTTTTTCTTCGTTTATAATAGTTGTAAATTGTTCTATTAATGAATTGAACATACCATAAGACTGATTATTGATAAAGAAGTACGTAAATAAACACAAATGATTCCAGAATGGTATATCGGTTCCTGAAAAGAAAATATTCAGTTTTATTTCGAGATTGATCATATATAGAATGTTTTCATACCAGGAGCTCGTGATACATAATAACTATTTTCAAAATGAATGTCGAATAGAAATTGATGTGATACTAATGAGTCAGCTATGAAAAAACGAATTCTTTTGTCTGGATACCAGCGTGAACCAAAGAATGGCAACGAATCAAATATTTGAAGTCGATAAGTACTAATCAAATAAAGTTTTCTTTTATGTTTGACATAAATGTCTCGTTTGTCATTCACGTGTATCCGCATTGGGAGACGGTATAAAAGCGGAATGTGTTTATTTTTCGATGTTTTCGTCTAAATAAAAAATAGACATGATTGTTAAATATGTTCATGTTTATACTTTAGTGAGAATTGAAATCATTCAAATGAACTCTTTTCTAACATTGATTTGTATCTTGTCAAAATTCGAGAATTTCACTTGAGGCAAAGGTTTCATCTCATAGATATAAGAAACTATGAATTCGAAATCAGTTTTCGAACAGCTGCTTATGTCAAGTAGACTTTCGATACAATAATGTGCTACACTTGTGACAATCTCAGTACAGGGATAATCATTGTCCGCAAGTTCATTTGCATATTCAAGTACAGAGAAAGGTCTAAAATGCTGCAGTTGTTTTTTTTTCTAAGAAAACACTCTTTTCTCAGTCAAATGTTTCTATACAAGATTTCTCGAAATTTTTTCTTTCTCACAATCCTGTATGTTAGTTTTTAAATAAAATATCTCATAGTATTTGTTGGTTGCGGAGTATAGTGGTAGAGATGCATCATCAACCCCATTGCTATGAATCAACTCGGTTGCTTTTGAGAAAAATAATATTTTTGTCATTCAAATTTTCCTATTAGCGATCATACTCAGAATCGATCATTATGAATTTCATTTTATTCAGGAGCCTATTTATAAAGTCAAATGAACTCACTGAATTAGTCGTGGGATGAAAGACAGTTGTACCAGCAGTGAAAGTGCGTTTCATATTATTGTCAAACATAACTTGAATTTTCCATTTTTCAGTGGGATCGGCATAACGCAAAACATATAATGTTATGGGAGATAGAGTGACGGAATCATTTAAAGCTATAGAGATACGTGATGTTGACAAGTCATCATCGTATAAAATTTCGTCGTCAGTCTCCTCATCAACGGTCACCGTCGTTGTAGCCATAGTATTTAATAGAAATCTAGCTGAAAAAGCAAGTCTGATATCAAACTGCTTTGTTGGTAATAATGATAATAATCATCATATGACACTCTTGCGTGATATGATATATTCAGAGTGAAAGGCATGATAAGATATGCTCTTGTTGAAACAGAGGAAGGAATAACGTAGATAATGTCAGCAGCAGATTCGTGTATTTTTGAGTGTGGGTATGGGTATGGATGTGGGTGTAGTGTGTGAGTGTAAGTGTGGGTGTGGGTGTGGGTGTGGGTGTGGGTGTGGGTGTGAGTGGATGTAGATTTGGGTGGGTGAGGGTGTGGTGTGGACGGATGTGGGTTTGGGTGGGTGTGGGTGTGGCGTAGGTGAATGTGGGTTTGAGGGTGTGGGTGTTGGTGTGGGTGTGTGGGTGTTGGTGTGGGTGTGAGTGTGGCTATCATTCTCTTCCTAACACCTACACCTCACACCACTAGATAATGTGTTGCCTGAGCTTTTTTACTTCACCGACGTTTTTTTTACTGATCTTGGAAAACAATGTATAGCAGATGCATTGCATGTTCAATGTTTACATAAATGACACAGATTACATACAGAAAACATGAAAAATAAACAAGAAAGCATTCTATCACATAACTTTTTTTATCCCAACAGCGAAATATTGGCAAAGCATCAACGAAAAAAAGAGGTTGAGCACGTATCCTTTGTTTCCAAATGCGACATGAGAAGAAAAAAAAGGAATTGTGAAGTTTCTTTCCTCAAAAGAGAAAGAAAAATGGTAAACACTACTCTGAAAAAACTAAGGTACCTTATGGAACCAAAAATGATTTCGTCCTCGCTATGAAAACTTTCTGAAGGTTTTGATTTCATTGCAAAAATGGTTTAGTATGGTACCCTTTTTTCAGAGCACAGTCCCACTTGAGTCAGAACGAATCAGATCACAAAAAAAAATAGTTGATCTTGAGTGGGGTAGAGTCACAAAAATATGACCCATGTCGGACACTAGCTTACATATAAATAGCTCATTATAAGATTGATGAGAAAAAATGAGTAAACGCGTTGTTATCAATGAAACGTTGCTCTAAATTATAGATATTCCAGACAATATGTTTTGAGATAGATGACATGAGAAAAAACAAAAATCAATGATCTTTAATTATTTTCTGTTTGTTTCTTGCGATGGCTTAGAATTTTGAGTCTTTCTGTTAGAATCGAACCATTCGATCTGGATATGAATGTATGACGATTCACAAGTCGAGTTTAACATAAAGAAAGCAAGTCATAAGAAACTACGTGAGTTTATTCATCATTTTATGCGAAATCAATACCTGAACAGAATGAATAAATGGCAAGCGTTATTCTTCAAAAATGCACAACAACTGAAATCAAAATCTAACTGTTTCTGCGGCCTAGACTTGCAATAGTTGGTGCTGTTTCGGAGATCAACTCTCTCAAATGAAACATCGTGACTGTCTCGTTATTAATTGCATCGTATGAATTTCATGGTGGTTGGGTGAAATTTCTTTTTGCTGTTTCTTTTTTTGTCATGCTTCAATACCAATGATATGTTCGTCACAAACGCAATCTTGAAGAAATCGATGTAACTATCGATCATATGTTTTTTTTTTCTTGCGTTCTTTCATGAGTCTTTACGTTTCTTTCTACTCTTATTGTTTATTTGATCATAGATACATGAAATCTAGCTATTGGTATTCGTCATTCGATAAACGCAAGCGTCGAATAGAGGAGACTGAAACGAAGATAGAAGTAAAAAAGAATGTATCACTATTAAATATATATATATATATGCTTGTCACATGATTAGTTTTTTACATTTGTTTGCTTTCTTGTGATGGTAGTCGTTGCCTATATAGCACAAAACCAAACAACGATAACGGCGAGTGAAGAAGTTTAACTTTACTATCATGAATTTCCTCATCGAACAAGCAAGTCAAGTTAAATATATAAATGATCCTACTGTTTAAAATCAGAAATCAATGTTGAATTAAACATTTATTTTTTTTACGCTATTTATTTTATATTTTTATTCACTTTATTGTATTGGAAACCACAATTATTCAGAAACATTAATAATATAATAGACAAATAAGTTATTGATCAAACTTAGAATTAAAATGTTTTATTTTTCGATATAGATCGTGATAAACACTTGGACACTGTACCCGTTGAAACCAGTCATGCATCGTAATTAATCCAGCTAAACTTTGTATGTACGTTGAAAGTGACTTCATTGGGTTTGCATTGAAAACTTTTCTCATGTCAACACATTCATTGAATCTATTTATCAAAGCAATCATATTTTTATAGGATTTTTTATTGTTTGTTAAACGTCATCTCACAATCTACATTCTTTAAAAGAATATCGATTCTGTCTGAATTATCTTCATTTGAAATAGTTTTGCTCCATTGTGTGTCGTATACAACATTTTCTAGAATTTTATTATAGTAAGTTTTCGGCGCAAACGGTATGAATGGAGTTGAGGCATTTAATTATGTGTCTATATGGTTTTTTTGTAGGACTGATGAGCGAGGATCAGATTAAACTATTTATGTTCTTTTCAGATTTCTTTGTAACTGAAAACGTAATGGTTCCTTCATTCTAGAACTCATTTTGACTTTTTTTAAAATTCTTAGTCGTCAATTAGTGGAAGAAAATGGGTCAATATTTCTCTAAAATTAATGAAGAAGTTCTTGTTTTGATGAATCAACATGATATGGATTTCACTTTTGATTCTGTTCTATCTGCAAGTGATCCAGACGATATTCTTTTATCATTATATTTAAAAAACTCTTGTCGCACAAATGATTCGATTAATAACTCTGACAAAAGATTCGTACAACAAATTCAAAATTATTTATCAAAATTAACTCATTCAAATGCATTGAACGACATTGATTCGAAAATTCGTGAGATACTCGTGGAAAATTTACGTAATCCTTTGATTGAATATTTGGGCGAGGCAATGAAAGACGTTGAAACTATTTGGAATCTACAAAACAAATTACAAGAATCCTTGTTAAACAATATGACAAACAGTTCAACTGTTGATCAATCAATATTTGTACATCGATCGATTGATTCTTCATCACAGGAGATTAAGCATCCAAACTCTGCTAACGCAAATGATAAAAATGAACAGTCCAATATTGCCAAACAAAATCCACAAATACAAGTTCAGCAAATATCTTATTTCGCCATTCAATCGTTATTATCAATTCTTATTCTATTGATTCAGTCAATTGCTAAGAATGATCCGACTTTCGAGCACCAAATATTAACATTGACAAATCAATTGTGTGAACAAATGCCTTTCAAATACTTATCGTCGCCGATATTTATGATGTCAAGCAGCAATTTCGTGTTAAAATCATTGAA